TCTCAGGAAGGAAGGAAGGAAGGAAGGAAGGAAGAAAAGAAAAAGATAAATAATACAAATGACAGAATGAGAGAAAGGGAGAAAGAAAGAGAGAATTTAAGAGGGAGGGAGGGAGGGAGGGGGAGGTAAGAAAGAAAAATAGAGGGACAAGCAGAATCAATTTTCTCAGGAAGGAAGGAAGGAAGGAAGGAAGGAAGGAAGGATAAGTCCGAAGGGATATTAGCTTCGTTGCTTCTCCAAGTCCTAATTGTGTAAGTACACTTAGAATGAAAGAGAGAGAGAGAGAGAGAGAAAGAGAGAGAAAGGAGAGAGAAAGAGAAAAAAAGGGTACCCTCATCATCTGAAGAGATAGGATAGATAGATAGATAGAATAGAATAGTAGACACGTATAGTATATATATATATATGTTTGTGTGTATGTGTGTGCACATGTGTGTAGAAAGAAACAGAGAACCTGCTGCTGAATAGGAAGCATGTATGAAAGAGAGAGAGAGAGAGAGAGAGAGAGAGAGATAACCGATCGATAGGCAATCTCAATGAAATTTGCACCTAGAGAAGGCACGTGTAATAGGGCTCGGCCAATCCACCTACATTCCCCCCCTCCCTCCCTCCCACCATCCCTTCCACCTTCTTCTCTTTCTACTCTTATTCCTCCCTTATCATCCTACTCCTTCTACTTTTCTCATATCTTTCCTTCTCTTTCTTTAACATTCCTATACAGACAGACACCCACACAGGATTTCCATCGAAAAGTAATTCGTTTCTTGTCAACGAACCCGTTGTTGCCGCGACGGTTTCATTAGATATATGAGAAGAAAAAAAAATGATTAAAAAAATATCTAAATAAAGAACGAGAGAAAAAAAAAGGATAATAAATATATATATATATGTATATATGTTTTATGTATGTATGTTGGAAGTGTCGAAGATGGTTAGTTACGTTCAAATGTAACTTCTTTATTATCTCATTTTTCTAGATGATTAATATCGTTTATGTTTAAACTAGCGATTTTATTTATTCCATTTAGAAATATATTTACTTCATATATATATATAATATAATATAATTATATAATATATTATATTATATAATATAAATATATTTAAGAAGTATGAAATATATAAGCGGAGCAATAAACTTTCGATTTCCTAATACCAATTAATAATAATAACGAAATAAATAATTTATAGATTTAAAATTTTTGTTTGTTTAACGCCATATCCTTGATTAAATATCATTTATATCTGTTTCGTATAGAAAAAAAAAAAAAGCAAAACCAAACAAATTATAAATATAAATATTACATTCGGTATTATATATATATAGCTAGCGAAAATGTCGAATATGAACGTTGATAAATGTATGTGAGAGAAAGAGATAGGGAGAGGGGGAGAGATAGAGAGAGAAAGGGATAGTGTCGGTGAACGTATTTGTTCGAATAATTTGTATATTGATGAGTGATTGGTTTGCGAAATATCACGTCACATAATTGACGAATCAGGAAGAGATAACAAAGACGTTAAAAGCTGTAACGCAGTAGGATAAACGATTGTTAAATGAATACAGTGAAGACGATATAGTTATTAGACGAATATATAAATCGACGTTAGTGAGATTAGGTTATAAAATATTGTTGATTTTGAACGATAAAAAGGGATAAACACGTTAAACGAAATGAAATGAATTGAAAATAAGTGTACGTATATACGAATAAATGATGGACAAATAGAGGGGTAAAAAAAAAAAAAAAAAAAAAGAAAGAAAAAAAGCTAAGAAAGCAGAGGAAGATATATATATGTATATATATATATATATTGAAATCATAGAAGAATGACACGACGAAAATTAAACACTACAAACAGCCAATTAAACGGAACGAAGAACGATCAAGGTCAAGTTTACTGTTGCTTTTCCTTTTACTATTATTATTAATATGTGTATATATTATTATTTTTATTATATTTTATTCGAAAATTCGAATTAATTATGTCGTAAGTATAATTTCTGTTAAAAATTCATTATCACATGATTGATATATATATATATATATATATATATATTGAATTGATCTAATTTAATTTATTAATTTCTTTTTTTTTTGTAGCTAATTTTGAATAATCTAAGAAAATGTTCTACATTTAGATAGTAATAATGACACATTAGTGAATGCTTTGAAAATCATTTTTAAACATAATTTTGATTCTGTTATGAGACTAGCAGTCAAATTCAGCATTTTGATTACATCCTAAGAAAAGAAATATTCAATCTATAAAAATATGAAAATATGAAAAATGTTCTTCATCGTATAAAAGAAAAACAACAATATACTCTTGCAAAATGTACAACAGAAAATTGCAAAATTGTTTCGCATATTTATCGAAGCCAACTACAACCCAGCGAGAATTATATACAAAAAGCTAAGAAAAGGTAAGAGTTAATACTTATAATAATAATAATAATAATAATAATAATAATAATAATAATAATAAAAAATATATAATTATAATAATAAACTCTTATTATTATATTATTATTTAATATAATTAATGGACGACTAAACATTGAATAAATGGGACAGAAGAGCTAATAAAATATCATTTTTACGTTTTCAAGAGGTAGTCTTGGAAGCCTGGTTGCTGCCGAGTACAAGCGATTGGTTGAGATGCTGCTCGTTGCACCACTTCCAGGTGAATTTGTTGACTGACCTCTGTTGGGTGTCAATGTAACATTGGGGTAGTCTTTATTGGATGGAAGTTGGATGGGTTGTAGAGAATAATTTGTACGGGCCCCGTACGACCCTTTATTACCAATATCAATAGAAGATGGTTTAACAAAACCACTTCTCTGGTGGGAAGTAGAATAAGTTGAATTCGAAGCGGAAGTAGAAGGAATTGAGACTGATGAAGGACAATTGATCGGGAGTAAATTTGAAGATATAATTGTATTCGAATTCACCTTTGAGCCACCCGGTCTCTTGAATTCTTGGGGTGGCGGTTGTAAAGGTCTCGATGATGAGCCCATCGAGCTGCTGCTCGATCTTTGCGAGGATGTCCCTGGCTGTGATGGTGCTGGACTGGCAGGGACACCCTCGATTCCGATCAATCGTTTGGGCTCATCCAGCAGGTGTTTGACCAAGTGGTAATTGCCCAACTTGGACTGGATCTGCTGTGTCGTGCGATCGGAATTGTCTGGAGTTACCTGAAATGTGAACAAGTGAAAACACATTTATATACAATATTACATCAATATGGTAATTATTGTATTTCGTTCACACATTCATTTAACATATAAATAATCCAAATATATATCGACGCGCTTTGTTTTTTTTTTTTATCAATTAAACATACAGGGCTATTCTCAATAATTACAATGAAATTAAACAAAACGACGCGATTTCCAGATAAAACTTAATATTCCAGATAATTAAAGATTACAATACAAAGTATTCATGTATACTGAGTAGACTTTACGTACACACGCGTTTACAAACGAATTCATTTCTATAGAACAAAACAAACTCTTGTTGTGTTGTCTTCTTCTTCGTTTCTAATGATCAAACTCTCAATCAAATTCTAAACTCACTTATACCACCCTAAGCATTGTACACCGCTCTGACCGCGACTAACTTTCCACTTCGGAACTGATTAACCATCCAATTAGGAGGAATTAATGCGATAAGGAGATACCGCGAGAGCCTATTGTTTCAAGTGTTCACGTGTGGGTTGTTCCTAGTAATAACGATGCCATACAATACATCAACAATGTGTGTATCTCACGTATACAAATACAAACAGGACATACACGTACATATATACTATATTACTGGAGCATTTTCCCTTTGTCTCAAGGGACAATAAGATCAAACCGTAAAGCTTAATAAGGAGACGGAGATCTTCATCCAATAAGATGAAGCGTACGTACGTAAGGAACAAAATTATAAGAGAAAGTGTTGTTAAAGAAACGTTCAAGTTATCAATATGTAATTAATATATATATATATATATATATGTGGGATTCGTGAAAAAAATTGGACTGCTGAGAACTGACTGGACCGGGATTCGAACCACGGATCTTTTGCTTTTCGGGCGACTGTTCTTTTAACCAATTGAGCTATCCAGGGCCCACCGACCAAACCTTCTCACGAATGCCCAATAAGTTTGGCATGGAGGCGCTTGTCCCATATATATATATATATATATATATATTTATAAATCATGTTATAATTTTTGTCACGTTTCGTATCTAATTGCTGCTTTCATTTTTTGCATAGAACAATCACGATGATCTTTTCTTTTTTTTTTTTGTAGTATTCTGTAATCTAATAAATGTGTACATTAAAATAATGGATAAAAAATATCAAAATAAATGAATAAATTTACGTACACCAAGTATCTATCTATCTATCTTACACCAAACGTAATCTATAAAAATAAAAAATAAAAAACAACCAAGTCTAAAACAATTATGACATACTAATCGGAAATGACAACATTACGTATTATGTATTGTTTCAATGTATTCATTCGAAAAGATATTCAATGATTAAAGATGATCGATTAGTTAATTGGAGTATAAAAAAAAAGGGGGAGAGGGAAGGAAAATTCGAAGCTCTTTTCTTCCATTAACGTTTAGGCGGGATAGAGGGGGGGGGAGGTAGAGCTGAGGGGTTAGAGGAAAAAGGATGGAGAATATTAAGTACTCGATGAAAGTCTGATTAAACTGCGAGAGAGCGGATGAGTCTCGAGATGACATAAATTCGATGGTCCGATGGATGAGAGGTTGCGCTAGGGTGGGTGAGTGAGTGAGAGCGAGTAAGTGAACAGCCAGAGAGAGAGAGAGAGAGAGAGAGAGAGAGAAAAAGATAGAAAATGAAAGAGAAAGAGTGAGTGAGTGAGTGAGAGAGAGAGAGATGGTTAAATGAGCAGGTCAGGGACTTTCCTTCCGGCCTGACGACCTCGCTCAATCTTCCCTCTACGAATCCTTCTCGTCCTCCTTTAACATCCCTCCCAACCTCCTTTCCTTTCCTTTCCTTTCCTTCCCATTCCACCCCACCCCCACCACTATTACCACTACCATCACCTTCTTCCACTTATTTCTCCTTCTATCGTTTCTTTCTTCATAGTTCAAGAAACCAATACACGTCATAGTCTTTTAATAATAAAAAGACTCTTCTTCTACGGTGATATATGCTCGTAAAGTATTCAAATGATCCTATTAAATGACAATAAACATACATTTATTAACGTTAAATTTGAAAACATTTGATAATAAATACAATTTGTTTAGGTTTGAATTGAAATTTTATAAGTAAGCGTTTTTTTTTGGTTTCTGTTTACAAGAGTCTCATCTATATCTAAATATATTGATTTATCATAATTTATGATACATGGACAATATCCAATGATATGAATTTTAGACACTAATTTTATGTATAATATATTTTCTGATGTGTTCGTTAATATAAATCTTTTTGTATAAAATTGTTGTTTGAGGCTTTTCTTATTCCATTAAGAACAACCCCTACTACTATCCTGTTCCTTCTATCTTTATCTTTCTCTTTATCCATGACAAGACGTTAAATTCTCTTTTACGATAGAATACTAAAGATGGAAATTTATGATTTTCAGGATTATAACCGAACGCATCATTCGATTCCAACGAATAAGCGTTGCCAAATAATACGTTACAAATTATCATGATAAATCTTAAATGAATATTAAATACGAATTATACTAATGTTGTTTTAGTCGAATAAGAAAAACAAAAAAAAAAGAAAAGAAATACAAGTAGAAAGAATAATACAATTTATCGATTGGTTATGTTCCTTAATATTCGTAAGACAATAACAATTATTTTCAAAAGAATCAAATCCTTATTTGATACGATCGATTTCGTTTTGAATAACTGAAAACTGTCTCTCTCTATATAGGGATTTCAAATATTTATCATCACGTAAGCCGATTTCTAACGATACATATATATATACATACGTGAATTCGTATACACACATATGTATACATGTATATACAGTATGTATGTATGAATGTATGTATGTATGAATATCAATCATGAAGACAAAAAAAAAAGCTTTTTTATATCGGAAGAAAAGATATCTACTAGTAGATTATTTCATTTTGTTAGTCTCGACCCAATCGAACCTAACCTGACGATAGATCGGATTAAATGTTAGAATATAACTAGTAGACGACTACTACACGAATTGACGAGGAAAAATAAAATAAAAGAAAAGAAAAGAAAAAAAAGATTGTCGAATGTGAATAAAAAAAAAGTACGCTAACTAATATCCATCCATCGTCGTTTCAAACTAAAAAGCTCGATGAATCCTTTACGTAGATATTTGCAAGTAATTGTTCGACATATAAGCGCCTTTTTAAAGAAGATTGAATCACAAAGAACCTTTTTTTTTTATTTTTTGGTCTCTTTTCTATCTTACTTTCCTTCCTTCCTTTCTTCCTTCCTCCCTTCATTCATTTTTTCTTTCTTTCTTTTTCTTTACTTTATGCGGCATAAAAGACATACGGGTAGGAGTTTCCCTTCCTTCCTTCCTTCCTTCTAACCAACCCCCACCACAACCTCACTCACTCCCTCCCACCCACTCTCTCATTCGCTGCGGCAAAAGCTTGGAAAAAACCAGGCCAGCACAGCACGTTGTTGGCGTTCGAGTTAAGCTTCTTACTTCGACAAGAAATTCGACTAAGAGAAATCGTGTCTACTATTCGCGATGAAATACTATTTTTTTGCAATGGCCCAAAATGTGCCAAGGCATATTTCTTCTTCTTCTTCTTCTTCTTCTTCTTCTTCTTCTTCTTGCACGATTGTTTTTTAAATACATTTTACATTATAGTAAGTAAATATTATAAGTAGAATAAAATTATTCATTGTGATTTACATTTATTTTTCCTTCATTATTATCGTGAACTTTAATTAATTTTGTCTAATTATTATTATTATTATTATTATTAATTATTTTTTTTTTTTTTTTAAGAATTTTTCATTTTTGTATTACTTTCAACTGCTTTTTCTATCTTTCTTTTACCTTTCATTTAACACGTTCACACCGGCGCGTACAACCGGTGGCACGCGCCGCCCGATGGGACAGTCTAGTGCGGGCCACCGGTGGTACGCGCCGGAGTGAACGTGTTAAATACACTTTTACCAATATGGATGTTATTATTAACGTTTCGAATTCTATGTAAAAATTATGCTTTTTTTTTCTTTTCTTTTTTTTTTTTTTAATACAGCCCGTTACGGTTGAGTTTCTTGACAGGCCCAAAATTCGACTGTTAGTGCGCAATAACGTGAAAAAGCAAAGCGATAAATGCGACCCGAGTATTATGGTTATATTATATTATTATATTTTATTTACCGAAAATAATCTTAATATATATAAATTACGTGTCACGTTGTTTGTCCGCAATGGACTCCTAAACTATTGAACCGATTTTAATGAAATTTTGCACACTTTGTGCAGTTTCATTCAACTTGAAAGATAGGATAGTTTATATCTATATTTATAATCGAATATTATTTGTTTATTAACAAACGAATCATGATTATCTCTGTTAGTTCGATAAGATTTTAAACTGATGACGGTATAAGGTAATTCGTTGACTTAAAAATGTGATAAATTTATCTAACTCAAAAATACTATAACTTCAACAAGAAGAACGTGTGCCATGAAGACGAACGTGTTAAATGAAATTTTGGGAATATTTATTTGATATTATTTTGTCATACGTTGAATAAAATGTTAGAATAATAATTGAATCATTTGATTGATAGAGAATGGTTGGTATCGATAAAATGAGATAAAATTGGAATATTGTGTAAAAATATTTTTTTAAATGAATTTTGTTTTACAATTGACAATCTATTTATAAGTAGGATAAATGTTGAAGTTTTAAAATGTAGTATAAATGGTAGAAACGAGTAACAACTTTACCGATGCCAATAATTGTTACTACTGTACTTTATCTATCAGTGACAAAAATACTATTATACTTGGCCAGGAAATGAGCTTCTGGTATTTACCGAAAATGGTAGGTAGACATTGAACGCGTAAAACGTTAATTACAATTCTCTTTAATTAACGATCAATTTCGTTATCCCAACGAATAGAAAAATATTCATTACGTGATTCACAGTTGGATTCTTTTTTTCATTTTATCACTACTCCT